ACCTTAGCTCGTCAAACCGCTCCCCAACTTTTGCCACAAATTTGGTGCGAACGCCAGGATTGGCACGACTGGTACATCATTTCCTCGCCTCTTCTCGTTTCCCCACAACTAGCAAGTGATCACCATGGCCGACAGCGGCGACGACAACCTGGAGAACGTCTTCAACCAGCCCACTGCATCTACGCCCGAAGNCCCACAACTAGCAAGTGATCACCATGGCCGACAGCGGCGACGACAACCTGGAGAACGTCTTCAACCAGCCCACTGCATCTACGCCCGAAGAACTTCGAGCGGAGCGTCAGCAGATCTTTAACGAAGTGAAGCGCATTCATCGCCTCGTCAGCTGCCTCGTCCATCAAGGAGAGCATCTCAGTCGGGACTTGATGGTCAGGTACGTCAACCGAATCTCGAGCATCAACTTTGAGCTGAACGTGCCTGACAACGACGCCGACTCTAAGGCGATCTACACTATGATCAAGGCCATCGGCAAGCAGATCAAAGAGGATGAAGAAGAAGCACGACAGTCGCTTCACAATCAACCGAGTTCACCACTTCATTCGACCTACAACAGATCCAGCCTAGGAATGAACAGCACTTTCTCGTCTGTGTGTTCGCACCCGGTCACCAACGACCCCAATGTCACCGTTGAGCCTTGGGATGGCACTGCCATTGGCTACTACAAGTTCGAAAAGCGTTTCAAATCAACCTACTCGGCTAACCCAGTTTACTCTGCCTCGAACCGCTTTGCAGCTTTCTCCAAGCTCATCGGACCGAAGGGACGCGCCATTATCGTCGACCTTGAGGAGACTACGAACGGCCTCATCACTGCTATGGACCGCATCAGAGAGCGTTTTGGCCACAAGTCACAAGTCCGAGCTGACATTGAGCGTCAGCTAGCTGCAGTGCCAGCCGTCAAGTCTAAGCAGGATGCACCTGGCATGAGCAATCTGATCGGCGTAGCTGAGATGTCGTACAAAGTGCTCACTCAATCTGGCACCAGTACTGACTATCTCGAGACCGTGGTCTTTGCGACTGTCGGCTCAAAGCTCCCGCATCAGTTCTTTCAGACCTACCTCAAACAGAATAACAGTTCCAAAGACCTGAAGCTGCTTATCCAATTCATTCGCACTCAAGTCGAAGAAGTCCATAACAGGGAGGAGATGTGTCGTGCGGCTCTAGTCTCTGCTCCACGAGCCAAAGTCAACGGCACCATCCCCGAACCGGCGACCAGTGATCCAACAGCCTATTCGCCCAAACAGTCAAAAAATCGACCAGTGAAAGCGCGCTCCCCTCGTCAACAATTATCTAGCTGCCGTCTGTGTGACGGAAACCACCACGTGTTCCAGTGCAACTATGGAACAGCAGAACAGAGGAAGCAACTTGCCACGAACAGACAATGGTGTCTTCGATGCTTGCTAAGACACCCCGCTGGACAGTGCCGTTCGCGTTACCTTTGCCAATGTGGAGAGCAACACTCTCAGGTGGTATGCACTGCAAAAAGTGCTCAGTCAACCATTCCACTCGTAACCCAATCAACTGGACCATCTGGAGCGACGAATGCAAAGTTGCTCTATCAGCCACCAAAGGAAGAACCGAAAATGAACAGTGCAGGCATCACTATGAGTGTGCCTAGGCCCCATTCCGGAAAGTCATCGTCATCATCTAGTTGCCTACAGTTTTCTCGACCCGACCGCCTGACGTCGTACTTTGAGACTGTAGTTGTCAGTATCAACGGCCAGAAGCTCCGCATCCAGCTAGACAGCGGATCTGGTCGCACGCTCATCCTCAAGGACGTAGCCGACCGACTCAACCTGAAGCCATACGCCAAACACAAGCTGAATCTCGGAGGATTCGACGGTCTCAGTTCCCAGACTAGCGAGCGACTTGTCAAAGCCAGAGTACAATCACTCCACTCGAATCAATCCTTTAGCATGATCATGTGCGTAACACCGGTTATTGATCACCGTCCGCGAGCCGCCTCACCAGAATTGTGGACTCAGCTCAAAGACCTCGGCTATGAACTGAGCGATTCGCCAGAACACGACCAACTCCCAATCAGTATTCTCGTCGGAACTGAGTACTACTGGAAACTCTTTACTAGTTTGTTCATTCCAGTAACCGACGAGATCGCAGTTCGCAATTCCATTTTCGGGTGGACGATGGTCGGAACCACGGAGGACAGTAACTATCATTCGCCTCGTCGACAACATTCAGCCGTCGTTGGACTCTCCAAAATTAACTTGCAGCCGGACAGTCAACCCTATCTAGATGACGAGCTGCCCGTGGTTAACTTCTCATTCGCCTCTTCAGACAAACCTTCGAAACTAGAAAGTGCCGCTAGCACCCATCCTTCTCGTCTCACCATCTCGAACGACGACCAGTTGCAGGAGGAGTACCTCCAGGAGTTCATCAAGGCCAACGTCCATTTTCGAAACGGCCGATACTCTGTCAACATCCCCTGCATGCAGCCACTGGACATGAAGGACAACAAGACAGTTGCCTTGAATCGCTTTTACCGTCTCGAGCGAGGACTAGAAGCTCGAGGACTAAAGCCCGCCTATGACGCAGCTTTGGCGGAAATGGTGGCCAACTTTACTGAACCAGCACCAGACGTGTGTAAGTCGGCTAAATGTTACTATATGCCGCATCACCCCGTCATTCGTCTAGACAAAGACACTACCAAGCTACGAGTGGTCTTTGACGCATCATCTCATTCGTCTTCCACCAAGTCCCTTAACGATAACTTGTTCAAAGGGGTTGTGAACTGGGACTTGCTTGACGTCCTACTTCGATTTCGGTTTGGTCAGCATGCAGTGACCGCCGATATTGAAAAGGCCTTTCTCCGCATCCAAGTCGAACAAGAGGACCGAGACGCATTTCGTTTTTGGTGGCGAGATCCAGACGGTAACCTGAACATTCGCCGATTCACCGCCGTTCCGTTTGGCACTAGCATTTCGCCCGGCCTACTGTTTGCAGTCCTCAAACACCTATTCGACTCTAACCGCGACAAGTATCCCGATGTGGTGCCCATTATTGAAAATCGAATGTATGTTGATGACGTTGTCGTGGCCTTTCAGGACATTACGCCCAGCGAGCTGGAAGCCTTTCGGGCTCGAAGCATTGAGATGTTCAAAACAGCAGGCATGAACTTGTGCAAATTTCGCACTAATCATCACCAGCTCGACTTGCAGTGGGCAGGCCCGTCAGCCAAACCAGTCATCAAAGTTTTGGGTCACGCTTGGAACCTACCACTCGATAAATTCTCACCAGCGATTGACATTGACCGATTTCTCACCCTCAACTCGCTCACCAAACGGGAGTTTACTGCCTTTGTGCAATCGGTCTACAACCCCACTGGCATCGTAGCCCCTTTCTGCTTGATCCTGAAATTGGCTCTCCGTGAGCTGTGGAAGCTGAAACTACGATGGGATGACACGATTCCTGAGAGTGAGTTGCGGCATGCACTCGAACTGATCAATGAGGCCAAGTTGGTCAACGAGATGGTGGCTCCTCGAAACGTGTGGCCAGATGAGGGAATTCAGCCAACCCTTCGTGTCTACGCCGATGCCAGCACTACCGCTGTAGGCATTGCTGTCTACTGCTGCTCGACTAAGGGCAACTTCCTCATCTTCTCCAAATCGAAACTAGCTAGAACAGCTACGATACCTGAACTAGAACTCGACGCGCTAGTAATGGCAGCAGCAGTGTCGCGACAACTTTCACTCGCTTACCCATTTTCAACAGTGGTGATCTGTGGAGACTCAAAACTGAACTTGCAGCGTCTCATCCAACACCCAAACAAGCAGAAGCTAGCCGTCGCCCTCCGCGTCAACATGATCAAACGATCAGCTCCTCACACCGTCTTCCGGCACGTCGAGTCGAAGGAGAACATGGCGGACATAGTGTCCCGAGGTGCCACTATGACTCAACTTTTGAAGTCCAAACATTGGCTCGAGGCACCGGAGCTATCGTCCACAACGCAGTTTGAGCACACAGTCACTGCTCATTTCCTCACGGTGGCAATCCCTAAGTCAGATTGCACCTGCACCCAATATCGCAACTATTCACTCGCCGTCAATTGCTATCGGATCATTGCCCGTCTCTTGAAGAAGAAGAAGACAGCCTACGATGACATTCACGAGCTTGATCTCGCTCTCATTCTCCTCATACGTGATGTGCAGCGCCGTCACTTTGAAGAGTCCATCACTACAGTGGACGAACACGGTACAGTGACCTTCGACCATTGTTGTGCTCTCCGGAACTACGCTGTGCACCGGGATGGCGACCAGATCTTGCGCCTTCGAACCCGTCTGCAGCAGACAGTTGATCTCTCATTCGATGAAGTCCATCCAGTTATCTTGCCGGCACACTGTCACTTCTCCCGACTAGTGATTGCGAACACTCACCATCAGTTGTTCCATCCGGGAGTCGATCGAACTAACAGTACGATTCGCCAACGCTACTTCATCATCAATCAGAAGCGAATGGTCAAACATTTTGTCAACCATTGCCAAATCTGCCGACGCAAACGTCATTCGCCTATCAGCATCCTTCACGGACCAGTCCCTTCCTTTCGGTACGACATCTACAGCCCGCCTTTCACCAACACAGGCATAGACCTTTTTGGTCCCATTAAGCTACCGATGGAAGACAATGCCAAGTTTTACGGCATCATCTATTCTTGCGCCACCAGTCGACTGGTCTACCTCGACGTCGTCAAAGACATGACCGCCAAGTCAGTCTTCGAGTCCGTCTCTATCTTTATCACTCGCAACGGTCTCCCTCGGATCTTTTACTCGGACAACGGTAAACAACTAGTCAAAGTCAAGAAGGACTTGCAAGAGTACCTTGAACAAATGTCCCAACTGCACCCAGACCGTGAGTACCGATTTAAGTGGCTCCACCTCACCGCCCACTCCCCCTGGAAAGGTGGGTTTTATGAACGCCTGATTCGTTCCATCAAAGACGCCCTTTGCACCTACTCGCTTGACCCGACAATCAGTGTTCATCGTATTGCTAGTCGAGTGAATGGTAAAAGGAGCAAACTCTCATTCGAACACCTCAAACTCGTGATGGCAGAAATTGAAGCCATGATTAACAACCGACCACTGTTTGTGCATGAAGATCAAATTATTCGTCCCGTTGATTTTCTCGCCGGCAAAGGAAGTGCACAGATGCCCATCTCGCGAAACCTCCCTTCCAGCTACCAGAAACCCAACTTGATTCGCGATTACAAAGCCTTCCAGAAGCGAGTCAACAAGTTCCGAGAGATGTGGAAAACCCACTACATACTCGAGCTCCGTAACTTTCATCAGCACAAGGAGCGCCAAACAGTCCCGCGAAAATTTGAAGTCGGTGACGTCGTGCACGTCAAGAAGCCGAACACAGCAATAGACTCTTGGCCTCTCGGAATTGTCATCAAAACATTCGCCAACACCGACGGTATTACCCGATCAGTTTCCGTACGCACCCTCAACCGAGGCAACATCACTGAGGAAGTCAAAGACGTACGCAACCTAATCCCGGTGGAAGCTAACAATGAACGTCATGAGGATGCCGAGCCACCACCAGCAGTGAACCACAGCCAGGCTGACATCTCTCCATTCGAACCCCCAACTTCTCGCTTTCGGTCTACAGCCAGTCGAACTACCCGACAGCAGGCAAACCAGAAACAGGAGTCTCTTGACAAATTGGCGAAGAAATGGTCAAAGCAACTGCAGTCTAAACGGAAGGATGCCATTCGCCGACAGAGTCTCCGTGACCAGATATCTAGCGCCCTCGCTAACGGAACCTCAAAAGGAGACCCACTCATTCAGCAGTTGACCGCCGAGCTGTATTCTCTGAGTACCGATCGAACCTGTCATTCGTTATCCCTTCCACCGTCTCCAGATACTTGAAGTCGCAAGCGAGGATTCCCCCGGGCAGTATGTAACAAACTCATGATGATTTGTTACGGCCATCTCTCGGCCTATGA